GGCAGCATTGGGTTGGGATGTTTTCGTGATGCACATTTTCTTTACATAAAACTCTCTCTTATACGTGAGTTGCTGTGGATTTGTTTCTCCAAAGTACCCAGACTAATACACCAATGCATTCCCTGTTACCAAACCTAGTTTACTTCCCCCCAATTTCCCAAATTCTTCAGGGCATACAAGCCCACCCACTGCCCTCTAGTCAATTCTGACTCATAGGGACCCTCTGTGGTATTCCTAAGGCTATAAATCTTTATGAGAGCAGTCTCAACTTTCTCCCTCAGAGCAGCTGATGGGTTTGAACTACTAACCTTGTGTTTAGCAATCTAACGCCTAGCTAACAGTGCCACCGGGGCTTCTCAGGGCATATAGAGGACCAATATACAACATAATATGCACATCATAAATAAGGTATGCACATCTCTACCCACAAACAAAATATTTAACAGATTATAAATATTGTACAATTAATAGATACCACGAACATACAAATTAAATATTAATTGACATCATTATGTAATTGTAAATACCTCAGATGTTAATTGTATAATTAATAGACACTTCAAATCAATATGATTATAAGTTCATCATCACTAATTTTGAATTTTTCAATGGCCTTCACCTCAGAGAGTTTCTGACATGTTGAATAACAAGTAAGGACAATAATAAAAGCTTAAATTTATTACAAGGAGCTCTGGTTGCACCACGTGTAAGTGCTGAACTGCCAACCAAAAAGTTGGCAGTTCAAACCCACCCAGAGGCTCTGTAGGAGAAAGGCCTAAAGACACAAAGCTAGAAAACCCTGTGGGCCAGTCAGCTCTACTCTGCCACATAGGGCCACCATGCGTGAACCTCACCTCCCTGGCACTCAACAACGGCGTTTGCACACTTCCTACGTACCATCAGTAATGGGCACTCTGTCTTCCTTTCACAGATGGAGAAACTGAGGCAGAGATCGAATGAAGAAACTTGCCCATGGTCACACAGCTGGCAAGGGTCAGGTCGCCACTTTCATGGATGATAGAGACATTTTAGGACCCTTCTACCCGTTTGCTCTCGGTCACATGATCCAAAGTCCCATACCCTCCCGGAGTCAGCAAAAGCCTAATTTCCAAAGGTTTAGGTGATTGTACTTGAATTGAAAACATGTACTCAATGTTTTAAGTACATTGAGCTGTATCCATGCGCATAATATTATGTTTTGGTGCATTGATCGTGAATTGACTGTATTAGCGACTAGGGTGTCCAGTAAACTTTCATGGAGATGAAAGATGCATTGCTTTTTCATTTAGGGCCAAGCATGTAGCATGATTTAGAGATTTAAAAAAATGCATCAAATAACTTGGCCATGCAACTTAGTTTACATCCTAATTGAACCATGTAATT